TATATATATACACGTTATATAAAAGTTCAAGATCCAAAATTAATGGGTTCTACAACGACTTTAGGTTAATATATTAAGCTAATAAAAGTATAAGTCTCTCTCTCACACATATATATAGAAAGAGAGAGATTTAAGTGAGATATATAAAAGTTCATTAGGTGAATTCAAAGTTTGAAGATTATGGGTTCAAACAATAATCTTAATTAGGAAATATTTAATAAACTTTAATATATATAGAAAATTTCGATAAATATTGTGAATCCACATGGGACTTGGGACATTGTAGATTTGCCTACAAGTCATGCTTTTTTGCTTGGTAAGAGGGAAAATTTGCAGCCGCTACAACCTCTGCCACAGCCTTTGCCCTTCGGGTGAGCATTCTGTGGTGAGCATTTTATACGCATTGGATAAACCTCCCTATATATAATAGACTACAAACCACACTAGGCAAAATCTGTACGACATGCTCAACCCAAAAAATATTGAGCAGAGAATCGATCCTAATCGACTACCGTCCTCCTAACCAACTACGCAACCCACGAAAGGTTACAAGTCATGCCTTATTGGCCTTTATTATGCACGCCATCTGGTAAGAAACTTAAAAAGTATTTTTCCCTCTCGATTTCTCCGCACAGTAATAAAGAAATAGCAAAAAATATTCGGCGCACATGATGGTCCTAAAATTCGCATCCATACCGTTCCTTTAAAATAGTCTGCAGAGTCGACAATGGCGGGTTAATTTCGAAAACCAATTTCATTTCAATCCAAAAATTTCATTTTTCCAAATTCATTTCCCGCCCTCTAGAGGAAATAGAAAAACCCCAAACCGAAAACAAAATCTATTTACAAATTACAAGTAAACTTTCCCTCTCTACTCTCTGCTTGTACAATGGCTGTTGCTTCAGGTTCTAAGCAAAAGGAAGGAAAAATGAAGAGCCCAACGAAAAAAGGAAATAAGGAGTCTCAAGAGCAATCGGAAAAGGTTATTTCTACTCCTGCGAAGCGTAACAGTTGTCCCGGAGTACGTCTTGTGGGCGGGCGAATCTATGATTCTTTTAATGGCAAGACATGTCATCAGGTACTTTACTTACTATATCGTCCCTGATTAATAACAGATTATGCTTGTGTTGTATCTCTTAATTGGTCTGTGATTACATCTACTTGATGTGCTAATCAGTAAGAAAGCTGATAAGGGACTGAGGTTTCGGTGACTTGTTTTAAAATTAGGAAAATGTTTTATAAATTGTTGTAAGTTGTTATATATGATGAGGACCACGAGGAGACTTACTCGATTATTTGATTCTAAAAACTATCATTCATGGGTTGACGTTGATCCATGAAGGGCAGATATAGAGTTCTAACTTAGTAGTCTTGTTTCGAACCTTATTTGTTAAAAAAATCACTAAATAAGTACATACAATTGATTCTGAATCCTGAAGTCAATCCCTTTTTAAAGTTCAAACACCCTTAACATTCAAATCTTGAATCTGCCTTTGTCCATGATGTAGAGTAAGCGAGTTCAGTGTTGCAATTAGGATGACAGACAAATGTCGCTGCTTTGTTGCTTCAAGAGAGTAATGAGTTAGATTCCCTTAATATATGAATTCTAATGGGGTTATATGGTTTTGTTTCAATGGCAAACATAGTGTAGAATGGGATGTGTGGTAGGTGCATGTCATTATTCCAAATTTTGGGTGGTGAATTGAATTTGGTATTTAAGTGGAGAGAGGTGAGCCATTTTCCATTGAGAAGTTTGAATATATTTTGTTTATAAATAAAAATATAGATTCCAATGTGCTTCTAGGGTTATGGTTCAATGGCATAGCGTAGTATGAGATGTGTGGTGGGTGCATGTCATCATTTTTAAATTTTGGGTGGTGAACCAAGTCTGGTATTTAAATGGGAAGGGTAGAGGGGTGAGCCATTATGCACTGCGAAGTTGGAACATTGTGGATGTTTTGTTTATCCAAAAAGAAGAAGAAGAGGAGGAGGAGGATATATATATCAATTGGCCTAGAGCCAACAGCAATGGGTTTGAAACCACAGCTTATACTCTAGGTCTAGCCCTGTTACTACATATGCAGTCTTTTCCCATTTAAGATTGCTCTTGTGAAATTATTACTACTATCTTTTTTCCCTAGTGATTTATGTGCTTCTGCTTCATTGCATTGTTCATTAATGTAGAATTTATTGTTTAAAATCAACATTTACCCTTCATATGCATTTTCTGCTGCATTTGGATGGAAAAATGTACTGCCAACATATTGCTACTTTTGGATTTTTTAATTAGTGAAGCATGATTCGAACATTTTCTAAAGGAATTTATTTTCTGCACTAGGCACAAGAGTCAAGACCTTTGTAGAAATTAATGCAAGATTTCATTTTGTAGCCAAGCATAAAGGAAAGCTTATTCTCTTTTTTCCTGCTTTGTTTTTACAGGAGATGTGAAGTTCTTTCTTGATGAAAGAGTCTAAAAACTGAACAATGGTTTTGGTGATTTTTGTTGCATTTTCAAGTAGAAGTTATTATTTGAATAATTTAATTTGGGTAAAAATGTATTTGAAGCAAGACAAACTTGGCGAAGCTTTATGCTTCTTTATGACATTTTGGTTTATGTGAACTTTCATTTGTGTTAACCTGCGGCTCATGCACTACTTGTTGTCCATTTATCATTACTGTGTGCATAGCATTGCAGATTATGAACTTATTGTCCTTCATCCTTTTGTTCTTTCAGCATCTTGTACTAACTTTTTACTGAACTTCATGCAGTGCCGCCAAAAGACTATGGACTATATGGCTGCGTGTAAGAATATGAGAAATGATAAGCCTTGTCCAATTCGTTTCTGTCATAAATGCCTATTAAACAGGTTAAAAGCATTCCATCTTAATTTTTTTTTATGACAACCACTATTCTTTTTATTTTAAATGTGTACTTATGTTTTGTGAGCTTTTAAACTAGGTATGGTGAGAAGGCAGAAGAAGTATCACTTTTGGAGGATTGGAAATGTCCAAAATGCAGAGGCATTTGTAACTGCAGTTTTTGCATGTGCGTAGCCTTCTTTAGTTTGTTCTTAATACATATTCTTTTAAAAACAAAATTTAACATGGTCTTGGCAGCTTAATATTGAGTACTGACTAACTCAATTCTCAGGAAGAGACGGGGTTTCCAACCCACCGGTATCCTTGTGCACGCAGCAAAGGCAACAGGATATTCTTCTGTTTCAGATATGCTGCAGACTAATGGGCTTAATAATATTGATCGCATCAAAGTTCTGAAAGACACAAATACTTCAAACAATGTAATTCTGCTTTTATATCATTATTTTGACACTGATAATGGGGAAATATTTGTCTGCTTGTTAGCTCTGATACCTTGTTTCTAAATATTGACAGGAGGAAAGCATTGTTTCTGCTGAAATTGTGGGGAAGGAAAATTGCGTTGAAGGGGTGATAGACTTAAATATGCGTCCTTCTCATTTGTCAAAAAGTCCCAGTAGTAAGCAATCTGTGGGATGTAAAAGGAAAGAGGTTAATGGAAAGCCCAATGGAAGGCTTTCGTTAAAGGAGAATAATCCCCTTGGCAGGGGAAAATCTAAGAGAATCAAGCAAGAGGGAGCAACTGAAGTGAATGGTAAGATAAACAGTCATAATAAAAGGAAATCAGAGAATAATGAAGTAAAAGATCTTGGTGTACAAAATATTCCATCTTCTGAAGATAGTCCACATGGTGGTGAAAATAAGCCAAAAAAATTGATGCAAGGTCAACCAAGATCAAAATTTGATAGCAAGAGAGGCACTGTTGCATCAGCAAAAGAAACTCTATTAGAAAAATCTCAAGATTCTAGAAAGAGTAACAAGGAAAGATCTGTCAAGGAAGGTTCTGTGAAAGATAACACTATTGAAAATAATGATCCTTTTGCCTTGACTTCATTGCCCCAGGGCGCTGGTTTGACAGCTGTTGGTGGCATTGATCTACAGTCGGAAGATGTTGGGAATGCTTTACAATTTTTAGAGTTCTGTGTGGTTTTTGGAAAGGCAAGTAACTCAATACCAATACAAACTCTATTATGGCAGCATGGTAAAAATATTTTTCATGCATTGAAGCTGTAATGTGGACGAGCACTTGTCATAGCTTCATTACTGAATTTCATGCTTTCCTACACATAGGCTACTGTTTGTTTTTCCTTAGTTCATTATTTCATTTTTGTTTCCCAAAATCTTGGAACTTGGTATATAGGGTATATCTGTTGGCGAGCTGCTAAGCTGAACACAAAGTATTTTTGCCAGATTTCTTATGGAACATCTGTTTTCCAAGTATACTGTGCTTTCCTATTCACTTGCTTTGTTGCCTGTGGTTCTTTTCTGTTGCTAGATCTGTGGCATTTAGGAGGTGTACACAATTGGCTGATCAAATTTTACATTTCTCAATTATTCTTCTGTTCATGTTTGATAGATTCTTGACATCAAGAAAGGGCAACCAGAAGCTGTTCTTAGAGATATAATGCAAGGAAGAAGTTCACGACGTGGAAAATGTTCTTTGACAATACAGTTTCTTAATAACTTGCTATCATTTTTAAAGGAGGAGGATGAGGAAAGGTACAATTTCTTCTTCACATTTGTTTAAGAAGCACATTTCTTACATCTCTTAACATTTATATATGAATTTATTTTCCAGATTTTCAGCAGTAACTTCAACAGAAGGGAAAAACTCATGGTATGCTGATATTAAAATGTGCATCTCAGAATCCCCCAGTGTTTCAAGAACCATGGGCTTGTATTCTTTAAGTAATGGAACTGATCAATTTGAGAACTTGAGTCCATCAGAAAAGCTCAAGATATTAAATTTTATCTGCGATGAAGTCCTTGAAACTGTGTAAGTATTGTCCTAGCCTCTCCCTTTCATCATAGCATTTTCTATTATCTGTTTGTCCTTTTGTTGATGTGAATTTATATTTTTTTTCCAGAAAGATAAGGGATTGGATTGACGATCAAAACGCAAAATTTGCTGAAAGGGCAAAGGAAGCAAAAGAAAAAGTTATTGCTGCAAAAGATGAGGTAAAGAAGATATAAAAACAAACTTAACCTCATTGTGTGTCAAGTTACGAAAGCTAATATATGAAATGCTATTACTTGTACAGGAGAAGCGCCTGAAGCAGAAAATGCAGGATCAGATAGCTCAAGCCCTAATTGCAAAGAATGGTGCTCCACTCTCAATATTGGAACATGAAACAATTGTTTCTCAAATTAAAAGTGAAGCAGCAGAAGCTCATGCTTCTGTGAAGGAGTCAAAGAACACTTATTCAAAGTGTATGTTCTTATTCTACATGCAAGTTTTAAGTTCATTTATTTTACCTGTATGACTTGCATAAGTGTGCATATCTAATCAGTCATGTTAAAAGGAAGCCCAAAATGGAAAGACATGCTAATAGAGTAGATTTTTTTGTTCATGATGGTGTTATGTGGACCAGTAAACGACTTGTTATATATTTTCTATTCTAGCTCTAGAACCATGTCATCTGTTATTACCTTATATGATATCTAGAGCCCCAAGAGAGATTCTAAACCTTTTGCTTTAACATGGAGTAAGTCTTGTGCTAGTACACCAACTTAAAGAGGTCCAATTAAGTTAGACTAGTTACATCCATTCTATTTTTCTCACTGTAGATTGAATAGAAGGTTTTCCTTGTTCACTTGCCATAAATGTTATTGGCAAATCTGATTCCTACACCAGGGAAACTATAGTTATAATCACAAGCTCAATCTGGATGTAATATACATACTGCAGGTTATCATCTCTCTCTCTCTCTCTCTCTCTCTCTCTCTCTCTCTCTCTCTCTCTCTCAGGGAGAGGTAGAGATAGAATTAGACAAATAGATTGACAGAAGTTAGCTTGGACTGCATTAAGACTTGATTTCAGTATTGATGTAGCATCAGTTGATTCAAGTCATGCAAATGTAGATGGTAGTTAATATTGAAATTTTGAGTGTCTTGTAAGAAATCTTTAGAATGTTATCATTTTGTATCTATAGTGTGCCATGATAAATAAAAGCAAAATTTGTTTTCATCCTGATGCAAAACTGTTGCTATTCAGCGTGCTGCAAGATGCTGGGTTTTGATGCATGCACCTGTCTATTTTTATTGTGATAACTTATTTTACCATATATGGTGTTTGAGTTTTTAATATTTGTCAAAACGTGCTGGTATTTTAGGATTGTTTTGTCTCGTATATTATAGTATTTGCCTACCATCTTTGATTTGCCTTGTGAACCTGTTGAACTTTTACCAATGCGAGATTCTGTCTTCTTTCCAAGGTTTTGGAATAGGCCAAGATCTTGTGTGATTTTGAATTCAAGACTAAATAGCCCCTCCCCGTTAAATCTTATGGTTAACTCAGCGAATTGTTTAACTTTGCAAGTTGAATGACAACATTACCCTTAGAGAGGGTATCTTTACTCTCCTTTCATCAATTGAAAATTTGTTAAATATTCCACTGTTTTACAAAGCTTAGTATTTTCTCTGAGAAATTTAATATTAACTTGTATGCAGAGTTTTGATCATAAGACGCTTTTACCCGTTTCACTTTTTTGATGAACATATAATTTGATCCAGTCAAGCACGTCGGTAGATCACCATCCTTCTCAAAGAAGTAAATTGTAGTACCTTGATAATATGGTGAGTAGGTTGTCAGCCATTACCCCACATTCTATAATATAATGGCTAGTGAAAAGATGGAAAATTCTACCTTTTCACGACCATCAAACACCTGCACCATGCGACCAGAGAGAATAAAGAGAAGATCAATAACACCAAATCAATCATGTAAAGTGAAACAAAGCAAAATTATAGTAACATAGATAGCTATTACCCCATCCAGACTGCCACTTTATTCATAAATGAAATTTGGGTACGAGATATGTGAAATGCTTGTTTGTTGATGATTCCTGGTCTATTGTAATTTCAATGATTATGTAACCCC